GCAGAGCTCTGATGCACCCTGAGGGACCCTGGAGCTGAAGTTGTGCGACGGTGTCTGTGGGCAGTTATTCAGGAAGAGTGATTTCAGAATTTCTACTCTGGGGCAGTGCGCCAACTGTCTGTACAATATCGCACCCAGTGGGTGCTCACAGAGGCTCCCAAGAGCTGCTTGTAGAGTGGTGGGGAGTGCTGGAAGCTTGCGTCTGTGGCAGTGCATTTGTGGCACAGAGTTCTGACACACCCTGAGGGGCCTTGGCATTATAGTTGTGCCACAGTGTCTGTGAGCAGTTATTCAGGAAGAGTGATTTCAGAATTTCTACTGGGGGGCAGTGCATCCCCGATTGCACAATATCACACCCAGTGGGGGCTTGCAGTGACTCCCAAGAGCTGCCTGTGGGGTGGTGGGCTCCAGAGGCCTTTGTGTTGGAAGCACATGTCTGTGTTGTCCGGAGGTCTGCCGCTGGGGATGGGGAAGCTGTACTTACTGCTGCTGGAACGGTGCACCTTAGAGGTAGAGGTCCTAGGGTCTGCAGGTCTGTGGGTCAGGCAGCAGGATTTTGGCTGGAGTGGCTGCTGGGTCACAGGCAGTGTCCAAGGGCTGTCTGGGTGGTGGTGTTGATGAGTTCCTAGATGAGGCCGCTCTCCCTTCAAGGTGGCGTGGGCTCTGTGCCCGCTGCCTAGGGAGTGTCCACGGCTATGGTAGGTGCTCCCTGTCCAGAAGAGTCTAGACTGTCAGACCCTGCTACTCCTGTCGTATTTAACTGTCCCTCATTCACTCACACACACACCACACACATCCACACACTCTCCTTTCACCCTCTCACTCATTCACATCCTATCCCTCACCTCTGCCCTGCCAGCCGCCATCTTTTGTCTTCATTGTCATTTTAATTTGCATTTCTCTGATGATTAGTGACTTTCAGCATTTTTTCATGTGTCTTTTGACCATTTGTATAAATTTTTTTCTTTACAACAAACTGTAGCCATTTCATAATGTACTAAAGTTTGCTTCACCTTTTGTGCAGCCATTTACTGAGTTTCTTAGAACTATAGGACTATAATTTAAAGCAAAATTTGATAAATGCTGGATATTGCTTCTTGAAATACTTTCGTTACTGACTTCTGTCTGCCCAGATTCTAGTCACCAATATTGATGGCCACTTGAATTTTCCAATGGTTATTGATGTTCTCTTTTCTTTCTCAAGTATTTCCTCTCTGTGATTAATTTCAAATAGTCTTATTGCTTTATCTTGAAGTTCACTACTCTTTTCTTCTGTAATGATTAATCCTCTATTAATAACAATTAGTTTATTTTTTCATCTTAGATGTTAAAATTTACATCTCTAAAAGCTTGATTTTTGTCTTTTTTACATAATCAGTAACTATATCAAGAATATTTGACCTTTCTTCTACCTTTTCAACTATATGAGATAGTTACAATAATTATTCTAATGTTTTCTCTAGGTTAGTTCTGGGGTAGTTTGAGTGGATTGATTATCCCTCTTTCTTATGGGTAAATTTTTTCTGCTTCTTATCACATTAGGTATGTTTTATTATATCTTCAACTTTATAAATCTTGCCTTCTTGGATGCTTGATTTATTTATATGCCTATAATATTCTTGAATTCTTTTCTGGGATACAGTTAAGTTACCTGGAATTTGTTTGATCCTTTTGGTTCCTGCTTTTAAAATATGTTAGATGGAGGCAAAATTCTTCTTCATACTCTACCCAGTGCCCCAGAAATTATGAAACTTGCCGTAGAGCTAGTGGAAAAGGCCCTACTCCTGGCCCAATGTAAGTTCCTGTATTCTTTTATTTACTTTTTATAGATGGTTCATTTCAAGGTCTAGGGTAGTTCTTCAAATGCATGCTCTGATTAGTGCTCTGCTGAATTGATGATGGGGACCCCCTAGAGGTATCCATAGTAGTGTCACTGTTAGATTTTCACCACTGAGGTACTACACCACCCAAACTCCTGCCTCCTTGGTCTCCACAGACTCTCAGCTGTCTCTCAACCATGTGGATCCATTAGGCTCCTCTTGGTTTCTTCAACACCCCTACCCCACCAGTCATGGCCTGGAAACTCTCTCAAAGCAACAATCTGAGACAATTGTATAATTCACAGCTTCCCCCAACCTGAACTCTCAGGAGGCATTATCCTTTGTTGTCATATGTCCAGTATCCTGAGGACCTTTATTTCCTACAAGAGGCCCAGTGCATGAAATTCGTGCATGGGGGTGGGAGGTGTACCTCAGCCTGGCCTGCACCCTCTCCAATCTGGGACCCGTCAGGGGATGTACAACTGCCAGTTTAGGTACATCCCTCTCATAATCTGGGACCGCTGTCTCCTAACTGCTCACCTGCCTGCCAGCCTGATGCCCCAAACTGTTTCCCTGCCTGCCTGATCACCCCTAACCGCCTCTGCCTGACAGGTGATCATTCCTAATCTCTCCCCTGCTTGCCTGATCACCCCCTAACTGCTTCACTGCCAGCCTGATCGCCCCATAACTGCTCCCCTGCTGGCCTCATCACCCAATACTGCTCCCCTGCTGGTCTGTTCACCCCTTAACTGCTCCCCTGCTGGCCAGATCACCCCTAACTTCCTTCCCCTACAAGCCTGATAGTCCCAAACTGCCCTCCCCTCCAGGCCTGCTAGCCCCTAACTGCCCTCCCCTACCAGCTTGATCACCCCTAACTGCTCTCCCCTGCCAGCCTGATTGCCCCTAACCACCTCTGCCTTGGCACCCACCACCGTGGCTTTGTCTAGAACAGTGGTTCTTAACCTTCTAGCCCTTTAAATACAGTTCCTCATGTTGTGACCCAACCATAAAATTATTTTCTTTGCTACTTCATAACTGTAATGTTGCTACTGTTATGAATCGTAATGTAAGTATCTGATATGCAGGATGGTCTTAGGCGACCCCTGTGAAAGGGTTATTCGACCGCCAAAGGGGTCGCGACCCACAGGTTGAGAAGCGCTGGTCTAGAAGGACATCCAGACGATATCCGATCTAATTAGCATATTATGCTTTTGTTAGTATAGATAATTTTTCTAATTCTTTTGGTTGGTTGTTGAGAGAGTTTGGGTGAGAAATGGAAACACATTTTAGGCATAACATGGAGTCCCTAGGATGGACCATTTAAGCAAGAGAAGAGCTCTCTTCTCTAAACTTATCTGTCTAAGTTGAATTAACATACAGTGTCTGAAAGCATGCCATTCTTATCAGAGGTTCACTGAACACAGAAATTAGCAGCTCCTATTCCATTTAAACTTCGTCTGACAACAGGATGCTATAAGTTTAGAAATCCTTCTCGGAATAGTTGTTTTATACAATGATTATGGTTTGGTTACTGCTAGGAAAATTGAGAGGATGGGATCAATTGTCAGGTGTCCTGATAACAAGCAGAATGCAGTATTCCTACTATGGCATCAAGGCTGAGTCACAGCCTTTACGTAATCATTTGTCTCCTCTTTTACTGTCAGGGGAAAGGAACCTGTTTTCAAATACCCCTTGTCCCTTAGCATTATACAGCAGAACCACAAGCTCACTCCGCATTGGATAATGTACACAGACGTGTAAAAAGCTAGGAATAGGGGCTTTCTTCATATTGGCTCAACACCTGTATCTTGCTTAGTGTTCTAAAGAAAATAAGGTAAAATGTTCTTACTGTTACCATCTGAAGATATTTGTATTGAAGTTACAACCAATGTTCATATTAATGTTACATTTAGTTCCTTTAGGAAAGTAAACACTTTAAACCTACACATGTTCAATATTTATCTTTACCATTCCAAAAGTCAAAAAATGTCACAATTCAGATATATTAAGCAATAAAATTTCATGGTGTAGTCAGTTATTCATTAACCAAATTTTTAAACGTGAATTTCTTTAAAAATATATATACGTGTAGTCGTATAGTTTATTAACTTTCTAAAACATTCCAAAGGAATGGGTATTTTAAGGAACTAGCTTAATCTCATTTTACTAAGTGGTAAACTAGGTCAGAATTGATCTATCACTCTCGAAAGACACACACATGGTTCAAACCAAAACTCATATCTTTTCTGTTCAGTGCTTTTATTGCACTTTGCTGCCTCAGGCAAACAGCCATTAAAACATATTTTGCAAAACTGTTGATTACAGCTATACCCAGGTCATGGGAAATAGTGACTAATACATCAGTTTATAAGATGTATCAATACATTATATTAATTGAATTGTAAAATAAATGGGTTCAGAAAATTTATTAGTGTTATCAAATTTATATCAATTTTCTTTTCCATGTGGAGTAAATTAGCATTTTCCTTTTTGTTTATTTAGGAAATGGAAGAAAATTCCACTCTATCATTGTCACAAAAGAATACTAATTTTTTAAAATCTCTTTGTTTCTCCCCTCCTCCCAACCCATGGTTAGTTTTCCAAAGGAATCTTCTTCTTTTAAATACTGCTCTTCTTTTCAATGAAACAAAAATATTCACCCTTCTTATGGAAATCATGTTTTTGTTTTTTGCAATAAACTCAATGTATTCTTAGTCTCTGTATCTATCTGAGTCTTGTAATTTGACAGAGATGAGATTATGGTTACGACCACAACTTTTAAAATGTGATCATAAACTAAGTACTAGTAGAAGGTTTTAGAGAAAAGAAATAAAAGCCTATAACTGTTTTTATTTACACTGTGATTTTAATATTAATTGTATTATATAACCATGGAGAAAATAATTTTTTTCATAAATCATCTAGAAAAAATATTATTTTGACTACATATTATATTGTTTCACTTATGAGAATTATCAGTGAGGAAAATCTAGTTAGGTAGCCTTCAAGAAAGCAGCCTTTTAAAAAACTGTTTTAAGCTAAATATTACAAATTAAAACAGCCAATAAGAATTTCTGTCTACTCATTTTTATTGCATGACTAAGATTATAGCTATTCCCATAGTGCATTGTGGCATAGAGGTGTTTTGGATATTTTAATTAAGAATTCCTTTCCTTATAGGTAGCTTGGGCCGATTCATACAAAGTTGGTTGTGCAATGACAGTTTGTCCTAAACTTGGGAAAGGTGACCCTGTAATGTTCGTATGTAACTATGGACCTGCGTAAGTTATTTTGCTTTTAAAAAATATTTTATATTTAAATAAATG